TAAAGAAAATCAGTGGTATCACCAAACCACAGGCACTAAGGAATATACTCTACCCATTACAATTGAAGCATTAGGTAGAAAAAGACCAATGATGTTCTTGTTCCAACAGCCTTTATTTTTTAAAATCTGAACACACAATATCTCTAAGCCAACAACTTAGGAGGAGGAGACTGGCTAAGGATAAATTTCTATTGTTGTCACTTATATGAAATTCTATGAGCCTTTATACTATGCCAGTGTTTCATAATGTAATCATATATTGCCCATTGCATATATACATTTAAACAACACCCCCTTTTTCATACTAATTAAAACTCTCTTACTTGTACTCCAATTATTATTTATGTTGAGACATTTGTCTCATTTTACTAAAACCCTTTGTCTATGCTTAAAGAAACATAACTTCCTATTAATCAACTAAATTGCCTCAAACACATTTGAAATTTGTGGGATTTTGAGCACCAGCAGAGTAAGTTTAAAAACTAGTGAGGGTAAGAGTGGGCAATATGTGGAACCAGGATTCAGTGATCAATCATGTCCAAATTGTATATTCAAGTTTTACATGGGGAATTGCTCATTTATAAGGCTCCCTTATCACTGGCCCGCATCACAACGATACAAATATGTGTTAGGCTCTGAGGAAAAGAAAATAACCGTTCAGTATACATTTTCAAGTCACCATAAGACCAAAAGAAACATTTTTTATTACTTTTAATACTGCCTCTCTGTCTCTCAATCTAAGATGAAAGAATCTCTAAGAGTTTTACCATGACGGCAGGGCTTTTTAAAAAGATGGTTATTAACGTTGTATTATAAATTGCAAAGTTGCTAAGAGAGTAGATCTTACATGTTTTTACCTTTTACCATTGTAATAATGTGAGGTGATGGATGTGTAAATTTATCTTATTGTGGTAATCATTTCACATACTAAACATACCAAATATCACACTGTACACTTTAAACTTACAATGTTATATGCCAATTATATCTCAATAAGGCTGGAAAAATATGTATAAGAACATGGAAATAAATTATCTGAAATTTAACTAAAATAAGAATAAAGGCCTACAATAAAATGGCAAAGTAAAAACAGGCTTAAAAATGTGTTCTACAAGAAAATAACCAAAAGGACCCAAAAAGTAGCAAAAAGGGTAAGGTAACATGTGTGAGAAAACACATACTTCATCAGAACTAAATCTAAGGGCAGAAGATCAACCAAGACTCTGGGAGTTGACAGAGATTACCTGTCAAGAGTGAAATTTGTGAGAAATACAAGGAATTTCATCACTGCCCACTCTAACCCCCATACAAATTTAATAGAACTGTAGCGGTCTCCTCCACCTGAACCCCTTTCCTAATAATCAAAGAGCAATAGGTTCCTATTGAAATACTAAGACTGGAGTCAAAAAAGCAGGGCCATCACTAACATGTTTTGCTGAAGGCATTTAAAATAAGACTATTCAGACATGCACAGGGAAACCTCTATCCTGGTTAAGTGTGATCTTCTATTATATCAAGTAGCATCTCATATTTTTTGAGGACACAAGTAGGCAAGTTACACTTCACCTTAAATTTTCAAAAATTCTCCAAGCTGAAAAGTGCTCCACCAGAGCATGTTGAGCCCAAGAATCTTCCTTACAAAAAAAAAACAAACAAACAAACTTTAAACAGACACATGGCCACCTTAACTGGAGAAGGCAGCTTGCAGCCATATGTGGTCATGTGGCACCAATGGAATGGAAGTGGAAGGGATGTGTACAACTACCAGGGCACTTGCATATTGAGAAGGGAATTCACTGTCTGTCTCCAGTCTCATTCTTCCTACTCTCCCCATTAGTAGAGACCAGAACTCAACCAGTGTACTGATGGCACGTGATTAGACAGGTAGATCAATATAAAGGAGTCAGGTGCCCAGGACCCAACTGACCCTCAGGCTCCTCAGCTCGCCCCAATGGAAGGGGCCAGGTCCCACAGATGGCGCCCAGGTAGATAGCCACTGCTACTAGGTCTGGGTCACTGAGACAGGAATGGGGGGAAAGGGTCACCGCGGCCTCAAGGCCTGGGCCTGGCCAGTGTGTGGCCCTGGCAAGGGCTCTGGAGTCCTTCAGGACGCAGCCCCAAGCCTGTTCTGTTCTCTGGGCCGTCCGGCTCACCCACTAGCCTGAGGCAGGGTGAGCTGGAGGACCCTGGGAGAAGGCCAGAATCCGCCTCTTACCTCTCTCTCCGCCTGACGGCCATCACTCCTTCATTGACAGTCGCTTGCTTGGGGGAGGGGGCACTGCAGTGCTGGCCAATGGGTGAGCAGGGCCATTAACGGTCGCTCACTGACCACTGATTGCTTGGGGGAGGGGGCACTGCAGTGCTGGCCAATGGGTGAGCAGGGCCATTAACGGTCGCTCACTGACCACTGATTGCTTGGGGGAGGGGGCACTGCAGTGCTGGCCAATGGGTGAGCAGGGCCATTAACGGTCGCTCACTGACCACTGATTGCTTGGGGGAGGGGCCCACTGCAGTGCTGACCAATGAGTGAGCAAGACCATTAACGGTCGTTCACTGACAGCTGCTCACTCCGGGGAGGGGCCCACTGCAGTGCTGACCAATGGGTGAGCAGGACCATTAACGGTCGCTCACTGACAGCTGCTCGCTCCGGGGAGGGGCCCACTGCAGTGCTGACCAATGGGTGAGCAGGACCATTAACGGTCGCTCACTGACAGCTGCTCGCTCCGGGGAGGGGCCCACTGCAGTGCTGACCAATGGGTGAGCAGGACCATTAACGGTCGCTCACTGACAGCTGCTCGCTCCGGGGAGGGGCCCACTGCAGTGCTGACCAATGGGTGAGCAGGACCATTAACGGTTGCTCACTGACAGCTGCTCGCTCCCGGGAGGGGCCCACTGCAGTGCTGACCAATGGGTGAGCAGGACCATTAACGGTTGCTCACTGACAGCTGCTTGCTCCCGGGAGGGGCCCACTGCAGTGCTGACCAGTGGGTGAGCAGGACCACAAACAGTCGCTCACTGACCACTGCTTGCTTGGGGGAGGGTCCCACTGCAGTGCTGACCAGTGGCTAAGCAGCACCACTAATGGACCAACAGTAACTGTTGCCTGGTAACAGGGCAGGCACCAACCTCCATGTGCTAACATCTGTGCACAGCAGTGCTCTATTACATTATGTCCATTTAGAATAGCATAACAAGATTATTAATACAGTTTCTTTGCATACACAAAGCATTAAATAACACAGTTCTCAAAAATAAAAATTCATTATGAATACTACAATTGGAAACTTGGCACACCAACTATAAACTGTAAGACCGTTGCCATCTGAGAGCACTGTGTTAGATAATTAAGATAAATGGAGGTGATCTTTAGCAGGGTTTGTCTTGACTGTGCCAAGTCTTCAAAAATACATTTTTAATCAAAAATTGCTCCATTTATGGAAAATAAATAGTGGGAAACAGATGGATAATTCATCTGTTTAATATATAACGGGACTAAGCAATTGACTGACCATGAGGGAAGAAAGCAAAGTTGCCTCACACCTTATTCTGAACTAAATTCCAACTGGATTCCAATTTTAAATATAAAAAATAAAACGACAAGAGTACCTAGACGGGGAGGAAGAGATCATCTATATAGTTGCAGGGGTGTGGAAAAGCATCCAGCCCTTCTTTCCATATTACCAACTCCCAACATCCTTCCTGTTATTATGGTTACCACACCTGTAAGGTTAACAAAATTGCAAACCAAAATGAGAAAGCAAGAAGAAGGAACAACCAGGACACTGAATCTTTCATGTCCAAAGATAAGCCCAGATTTGGGGATAAGAGGCCTTTTCTGCCCTGGAAGCACTATATGTGACCACTTTTCCAGTGCTCAGCGCCAGCTCCAAATTCTGAGCCTGAAATACTTTCAACCCAGACCCTAGCTCTAAAGCAAACAACAACAAAACAAGCAAGCAAAAACAAAACAATAAAAAGAGCCAAGAACCCAGGAATTATTAGAACACTGAGGATGCTGACAGTAAATGTCCCCTTCCTAACTTCTAAAGCCAGCCTGCAACACAAGACGGAAGACTGAACTATGGCCCAAAGGATGCTCTATGCTTCCCACGTTACCCTACCAGAGTCTTTCTCAAGAATATGGGGCTGAGAATAAGCAGTTATCTCTAAAGTGATCTTAAGTTCATATTCTTCAGCAGTTCTGACTCAAGAATTTGACTTTGACATAAAGCCAACTTCACAAGACCAATCGTCTCTTCAAAGAACAAGAAAAACCTTGAGTAAAGGTTAAATAAAAAAAGCTTTCCAAATCACCCTCAAGGGAAACAGATCAAGTTGCTAAAGAATAAGGCAATCAACACATTTCAACAGCCAAAAAAGTATGCTTAGAGATATGAAAGCTTAACTCTAAAGAGACTTACTGTAACTGTCTAAGATTTGGGGCCAGATATTTATGACTGGCAAATGAAAGAGATAAAATTAATTCATTTTAAAATGCAAGTGTTATAGCTATCCAATTTAATCCACAGCAATAATCCCGAGGTAAAAGACTAGTGCTACTTTTATAGATGTTGAACTAGGCCAATGATTCTTCTAAGATGATGAAAGGAGTAAATGCAGAATCAAGATTGAAATCCAGGTCTTCTAACCCCAAGATCAAAGGTTCTGCACCTTCTTATAGCAGGCTCCCTGGTAGGAAACAACATTTAGGTCAATTTGTAACATTTGAAGGAATCACTAACACTAGCATTTGGTAAAAAAACTGAACTAACTTGGGGCAGTGGCAAAGGAAAAGTCATTCCTACCATTGTTTTTCATATTCTATAATCCAGAAGCAACTAACACTATTATCCAAGACATTAATTTCTGTAATTAAAAAATGTTATGTGCAAATTAAAGGTCAAATACCCTTCTACAGGAAAATACTGGCATGTGTCAATAGAGTATTTCTTTTTTAACCCCAATATTAGTGCAGATAAGATGATATACTTAACATCTACATGGGTAAAAAAGTCATCTGGGAAAAAAATGCTTTCAAAGTCCTTGGTTTCTCTGGGGTATTGGAAGTCAAAGTCCCTGTGGCAAAGACTGTCAGAGGTTCCACAACATTTATTTTCCTCTCCTTCCTTGGTAAAAGAACATGGTCCTGTGAGGAAAATGCTGTACTTTTCAGCCTTATCTATGGTTGTGTGACCATACATTCTGAAATATGGGAATTAAGCAAAACTAGGATGAAATTCCATGATGTTTCCTTTAAAAAAGGGGAAATACTATTCTTTGCCTTTCTTCCAACTGTCTGAAATGTGGGCATGATGGCTTGAGCTCAAGCAGCCATTTGGGACAACAAAGTATAAGCCATGCTTTGGCAGATAAAGCAACAAAATAAAAAGAGACTGGATTCTGAAAGATCAGGGGGCCACCATATTAGCCCTAGACTATTTACCTCCAAATATGTTTATAGAAATAACTTTCTAGCTAGGTTGTTTAAGCTCACTGGAGAGTAGAATCTAATTCTAACTGATCTAGCACCCATGATTTTTACCACTTTGCAATGAGTTCAAGTATCTCAATTACCTCAGGTCATTAAATTATCATCTTTAATTTGCTTTATAGCCAAAAATAAACTTCCCAAAAGCACACATATGACCATACCCATGTATAGAGTAGTGGGCTCTGCTGCAATAATTAATAGCATCAAAAAGCCCCACTCTGGGATACACTATGTATTCTTTGTGCGTGCTAAGTCACTTCACTTGTGTCTGACTCTGTGTGACCCTATGGACTGCAGCCTGCCAGGCTCCTCTGTCCATGGGGTTCTGAATACTGGAGTGGGTTGCCATGTCATCCTCCAAGGTATTCTTTAGTCACACTCAATGACCTCCATTTATATTCTTTCTACAACACCTAACATACTGCACTATTTGCCAACACTACCCCTCTTCTCCCTGTCAACTAGATTAAGAACGCTCTAACTCACAAGAAATGCCTAGCACAGTGCAGACACTCAGGAAATGTTTGTGATCTGACTGAATAACTCAAAACCAGGCCTTTACAATGGGGTTTCCTTGTCATAACTGGAAATCCTCTCAAGGTATAGTTAGACATGGTACTGAGTTGTGAATTTATCCAGTGGTTTCCAATCGGGAAATGTTTAAAAATGGCAAATCTCTGGATCCTGCCTGCCCAAGATCACTGAATCAGAACCACTGAGGTTGGAGTCTAGGCATTTGCAGTGTATACAAACTAGACCTACACTGTTTATACAACTCACTTCCAAGGAAAGAAGGAAAGGAGAACAGTAGAGTAAGTTGAAAATCCTCTGTGTTTCAATGTTAGCATATAAAATAGAGTGAAAAACTGCCTATTGCCTTTTATTGCTTTATGTTCTACTTCCCCTAGTGTTGGTTTTCCTGCCTCTATAAAATGCTATTGCCATTTTATGAATTTCTTTGAAATAGTTCAAACTATGAAGATAACATTGCTAAAATTCATTTTCTCTAATTCAGTATTTTTTCCTTAAAATTCAAAATGTCATCAATTATTAGCTACCACTCTCAAAGCCTCCACATTTAAAAATAAAAGTCAGCATTTAGGTACTTTTTTAATAAGCACATTCTGTACTTTATTTTACGTATCTAGATAAAAGTCGCTTCTTCAGTGTTGTCTATAGTCATCCAATATTTTACTGACTTGTAAGGACATAGAAAGCTTTTATGGGCCTTTTTTCTCCATCACAAGCTATCTGAGTAGCATCTGAAAGATCTTCGAGGAAGTTAATGTTTCTCTTAAAGTATTCATCTGACAGAAAACTCAACATATTATGATAACACAATTACGAACTATCAATCTGAACAGTTAGAAGTTGGCCTTTTGGAATGAGTTTTCTTCCTTTCAGGCCAGCAATTCTAGTTAAATACCATCCAGTCCATCAGTAATCCAATAATAAACAGGCCACATTAACAAAGTCTTCAAACTTCTGAATTGCTGGTGATACCTAATACTATTCAAAGTCTCAATCTTTGATTAATCTATTAAAAATAAGCCTGCAAAACTAATAGTAATTATGGGTGGCCATCTAAATACAATTAACCCAATGGTTTTGTTAGTAAAAATATCATCCTACATTACTATTCAGAATTGTAAGGAAACGAAACACTATAGATATTTACATATTCTTCAAAATGCAATTTACTTGGCTTTATTGTCTTTTATTTCCTCAACTATGGAATGGAGATAATTATACCTACCTCATAGGATGGTGTTTTCCTTAAGATCACATGATTTTTAATATGCTTCTCAAATAATAATCTCAATAAACAGCAGAATAATAATAGTATTATTATGTAATTTGCTGCTTTCTTTTTATAATGCCTCAAATTTATTAGTTTGGGTCACCCTAAAATAACTGATTATAAACTTTATGTTCCATCAGATTCCTTATGTAATACCAGCATGTGTAGACAAGCTATATCGCAAGCACCAAGGTTAAAAAAAATGTGAGCACTGAAAAAAAAAAAAAAGCATTGAATTATCTCCTCAGCAGACCGAACTGGTCATCAAGATCTCCCACACCTCAGGACCAGACGGCTTCACAGGTGAATTTTGCTGAACATTTAAAGAAGAACTAACACCAATCTTTCTCAAAGTCACTCCCCAACCCCTGAAAAGAAAAAGAAAATCAGAGAAGGGAAAACTCCCAAACTCATTTTATAAGAAAGACCAATATTATCTGGATACCAAAACACAGAAAAGGACACTACCAGAAAACTATAGGCTGATATCCCTGAAGAATATAGGTACAAAATTCTCAATAAGATACTAGCAAACCAAATTCAGCAGCACATGAAAACAATCACTTATCATTATTAAGTGAGATTTATACCTGAGATGCAGTGATGGTTCAACCAACACAAAATTAGTGTGACATATCACATTAACAGAACCACATGATCATCTTAATAGATACAGAAAAAGCATCTGACAAAAGTCAACATCCATTCATATAAAAACTTTTAAATCTGGCATAGAAAGAACACATCAACATAATAAAGGCCATATATGACAAGTTCATAGCTACATGATACTCAGTGATGAAAAGTCAGAAACTTTTCCTCTAAGATTAAGAACAAGACAAACATTCCAACTAACCACTCCTATTCAACACAGTACTAAAGTACTAGCTAGAACAAGCAGGCAAGAAAGAGAAAAACAAAAGAATATCAGAATTGTAAAGAAAAAAGTATAATCTATTTCTGGATGACATGATTTTAATATATAGAAAATCCTAATGACTCAACCCAAAAAACTGTTAGATACTGTAATTAATGAATCAGTTAATTTGCAGGGTACAAAATTAATCTGTAACAATCAGTAGCATTTCTATCCACCTACAGTGAATTTTCTGATAAAGAAATATATCAATCCATTTAAAGTAGCATCAAAAACAATAAAATACTTAGGAATAAAATTAACAAAGGAGGTAAAAGATCTCTTTTCTAGACATGAGAAGATGTTGATAAAAGAAACTGAAGACATAAATAAACAGAAAGGGTGTTATTCGGATGGTCCACCATTTCTTAAAACCAGATAGGCCCAGAGTCAAATATATTCTCCTCAAAGATCATTTTCTAGTTCCCAGTTATTACATTTCTCTATCAGTCCTATCACCAATCTCCAATGAGAAAAAGCCCTCCAAGTCTCAGATTCATGGCACCCATCACAGTGGCTGGGCCTAACTTCCCTCCCCCTGTTTTACTAAACATGACACATGGTCATTTTTCAGATGACCCAGCCGCACTCACCTAATTGGGCTGCAGTCCTTACAGGTGTGTGAAGGGGTGTGGCAGGCCGCAATGCCCCCACCTGAAGCCACTTGTGGTTTCAGAGCACAGGAACAGAGCTCAAGGTCAGAGACAGGTGTGCGTATTTCCGCTCATGACGCCACTACCGCATCAGGACACAGTCGCACGTAATCAGCCACGCAGGGGGCACAGCAAACATCCTCTAAACCTCCCTGAGAGCCTGGCTAGCTGCCAGCTCCCTTCCGATCCCCTGAGAGCATTTCTCAGATTATCCCTTGCTTCTCCATTCACACAGACCCTCCTCTGGTCATGTTCAGACAATGGCACTCAACTCACCTCTATCGTATGGGTCTCATCCTTCCTTTCCAACCTTTTCACCAACTGATTTGCTGAGTTTCATACTATGATAAAATACGCTTCTACAATTCCAAAACAATTTGAGGAGTTTTTTTGTTTTTGTTTTACTGTTATTGATTTGCTACCAAAGGCTTCTTTGACCTTAGAAAGAAATCCACTATTTGGTTGAATCAATCCATGAACCAGGCTTTAGTTTTGTTGTCACAAAAACTAGGAGAATTGGGTTTGAATTCCAACACCTGCGTTAGTGAGTCCCATGCCTTAAACAAGTCACAAAGCCTTTCAATGAGCTGGCATCCTCATCTATAAACTGAAGCTATTAGGCTAGAAATAATATTTGAAAGGGAAATGGCTGAGAGATTCCAGTTCTAAAATTCTATGAGTTTAAGTACTTACTGAACCCAACTCTGTGTTAGGATGGCAGAATGGGGCAAGATACAAAAGAGCTGATCTCAATGAACACACAACCTAACTGAGAAACTATGGTATTACTGACTTTTAAATTACATGTTAAACCCAGAAGGATTAAAGGGCAAAGTGATAAACTATCTTTTTGAGGAATACGTAAGGAAATATTTTTAAAATCCTGCATTGGGAAAGGCCTTCTATACCCTTCTCTGGCAATAATGCCTTAATCTATCATAGAGAATCACTTCGACCACCCAGTCTATATAGTTTGGGTGAGACTGAGCCCATCTCCAGCTCCAGAGATAGGCATAGATGCAGGCTTGGCCAATCACAGCCTCCTGACCATAGACCTGGTTCATAGATGGACACAAAACCTCAGCCAGGACAATCAGAGGGAATGAGAGTCTAGAACGGGACTTCTGCTGGAATTATTAGAAATAAGCGTCTTCTTAGAAGGTGCTGCTGACTTGTAGAATTTCTGGCAATCATCTAACCACCAGGAGGGGATGGATCCAACAGGGAGTAAAACAGAACTGAAATGGTGGTATGCAAGTAACCTCTGACAACCTCCCTGTACCTCTGAATCCAGATAGCCTGAAGCTACAGTTATCCCTTCATCCTAGGCCAGCTTGCAA